AGGGAGGAGCGGACCGGGCAGGTGACCCAAATCTGCCCAGCAGAGTGTTCCATCCCATAGACATCATGTTCAGTATAAAGCTGAGGGATCACAAGGGTCAATCTCTCTTCTTCGATGGCCGACATCTGAGGAGGACTCTGTCTGTTCTTCCATCATCGGTCCTGATCTGTGCATCCCTGAATCCAGTGCCTGAGTCCAGCTCCTGCATCTGGTTCCCACCTGCTGCCTGGGACTACCCCAGTGCCAGCCCTGCAGCGTGGTGGTGATGTATCATCATCAGGGTGGGGGCAGTTGGGTTCGGTGTTGGTTTTCCATTGGTTTTGTATCTATTTGTATATATTTCATTATTTCTTTATTCTTATTATTATCTTTCCTTTTATTGTTATTGTTTCATTAAAGCTGTTTTAGTTTTCTTTTTCAAACTGTAAAGTCTCTCTCCCTTGTTCTCTCTCCTTTTCCCTTTTGGGAGGGGAGAGGGGTTAAATGAGAGCGTCTGTGACTTGTTAGTGGCCGGCATAGCCTCAACCCATGACAGTTCATTACAAGACCTTCCCAAGATCTTCAAAAAAAGCATTCACTGGTTATAAGAATGGCACATTACCTGCATTTTAATAGTCAATGATTAATATCTCAGAAAACCAACACATCTTACTGAAGATGCAGTAGAAATGCAGAGAAACAACTACCAAATAGCTATAACATTAGACAGCAGTAGCATTATACAGCATTCATGTTGTTTCTACTTAAATCTGTGGGAAAACTCCATTTCCTTCAGCTCATGGGAAGCTGAACAGAGCGTTGTATAGCATATCACACGTAAATCAGAGTGCACACGTGAATTCAAAGAGCGATTAATATAACTAGAGCACATCTTTTCATTGTCACTAAAACTTTGGATGAGCTACTATGAGAAAAATGTAACAAGGAGGTTATAAGTGACCTGTGAAAAAGAAACACTCACCTCCCTGTGACAGAGTCAAATCCAAAATAAAGCTCTTTGCAATGTTCACATGTCTGTCCTGTTACAGAGGCATCTTGGCAAATACATTGGCCAGTTAGTTTATCACAGGTCTCATTCACTGAACCAGCTAGGTGGCACAGGCATGGCAGACAGCCAGTGACACTGGATGGAGAAAAATAAAAACCTGGAAAAGGAAGGGATTTTGAGAATAGACAATATGCAAAAAGTGAAAACAATAAGATTATTATTAACTTGTGGATAATCAGGGATGAAACAACAGAACCAATGCCTAGGTAACACACACATCAACTTAAATAAAGCAATATAGTCCTCCTGCAGATCTGAGCTTCTAAATCTTCTCATTGGCACTTTGTAAAGCTATTATTCATCCTCCAGTTGCCAACTCCCATTTTTTATTCTCTCTCTTCAGACTCTATTTTAGAGCAAATGCAAAATAGGGGGAGTACATTAACATGTCTATGGGGAAAGTAAAGACCCAAGGACATGAGAGGTACTAATGAATGCACCACAAGCAGCAGAAACCTAAAAAATAACATACGAGAACAGACATTTGTCCATTCTAGTCTGTGATCTCATCTCTAACAACAGCCAGCTGCAACACACAAGAAACACACATATTTTTCTTAAGAAAGTCTCATAATCTTTCTCAACCAGTGGTTGGCTTAATTCTTGAACATGACAGTGTTTCTTAGGAAAAACCACATTTGATGAGCATTCCCAGGCCTATATAAAATGTATATATTAATCTTCCTCAACATAGTGCTTGTGTCCTACACAACTACTTTTACAGAAACTAATAAACTGATGAAGAAAGGTACTTTCCTCCAATTAAAAGAGCTTTCATTCTGAATCTTATCCTTCTGTTCCTGTATTATTTCCAGTTATGAACAGGAGCACTCACTTCACCTTCCCTACAGTATATTTGTATGCTTCTGCTACACTATCTTTCATCCTATTGTCCTCACAAGCAATCTTTATCTATGCAAGTCTCTAACACATTACTGATAAATAGTTAGATAGAGTTTATACACCTCTAATCTGGTCATTGAAGAACCTACCCATTATTCAGAGCCTCACCTGAAATTCCAAACAAAAGAGCTTTTGCACACTTTTTTTTTAATGATGCTGTACCACTTGCATAATCTATTTTGCTATGTACTCACTTATTCCATTCTTACTAATTTCTTTTCTATATGTCTGATCAGAAGACAATTCAAGTAACAGCATACCAGTAAGAAATATCATTTTCCAAAATTATTTTCTAGTTTTACCTGATTATTAATGGACATTTAAGTGGGTTCTTCACGTAAATTCCTCTGCTCTATTTTATTTTTCTTTTTTGGAGTAGTACAGCTGATTAAAAATGTGTCAACGGATGAGAACTCTGCAAATTATGCTGGTGACACAGTATTAACTGGCACTAGTAAACTGCAAGTCCCTATCTTTGAACATCAATCCTAACATAGGGCCATTGATAAGAGTTTCTGTCTCTGTCAGCTGGTTGCTATTAATTATTATTGCAACTTCAATAGAAGAATTTCAGCTGTTACTCAGATATGCAGTATTTGCACAGACTTCTCAGACACTTTCCCTTTCTCTCCAGATAAAGTTCAATCAGTTTCTTCTTAGTCATGTTCTCAGTTACTGAATCTTTCTTGCTGTCCAATAACTTCCTAATGTCCTGCTTTATAATAAAGAGCCCAAAATTGTATTGTAACATGTCATATTGCCCAAGGCCTTATTATTTACTTTGTCTTACAAAAGATAGCTTTATATATACACCCCTAGGGTGGTATTCTCTGCCTTGGCAGCACTGTTGCACTGTGAGCTCATATCCAAATAGCAAAGGAAGTAAACAAATTGAAAACATTAGAATTTTACGGCTCAAATCTTTGTTCAAGTTTAGCCTCTGGTCCTCAGTGAGATAAATCTCAAGTGAACAGTGAAGTGACATCAGTCTCCAGCTAACATACATTCACATCATAAAAAAACCATGCTGTTGGCACTTTATTCCAGAGAGGCCCCGAACTGAGCCACCACAGAGACTGAATAGCTTGAAGTTATTAGTGAGGCAGCATGTATTATCTCATACTGCAGTTGTCTGCGCAGTACAGTGCCCGTCCTGTGCATAAATAGAGGAGAACCATTTGCCAGCAATGTCACTCTTGAGCACAATGAACGACTCCACTCAAAGAACGTAAGAGGAAGATAGGAAACAAGTTTAAGCCTGGACTCCTGCAGAAGGTCAAAGCACTTCTTCAGGACCCAGTTTATAGTTGCAGTAAATGACAAGCGCTCAGGCTAAAACATACCCTTGTCCATCTGAAATTTAGCATGTCTAAGTTTTGCTGTTTTACTACTGTTCAAGTAAAGACTATAGTGGATAAAAAAGCATTTACTAATGTTTAAGTAAAGACTATAGGAGGTAAATAAGCACATCTCTAGAAAATAAATTCATTTTGGCTGAGCAGAATCACTACAGCATACATTATTTCTGTCATAGCAGTGAAATTCCTAATTTTAAAGAATTTATACCTTAAATGTTAAACATCCTGGCTCTCCTGATGTCATACTGCCTAAACCACTGTAGAGCAGTGAAGGTTTTGGTATGGGTTTTTTTTGTTGGTTTTGTTGTTTTGGTTTTTTTTTTAATAATAATCTTTTAGAAACAGTCTAAAAGTTTAACTAAGTACCTGGATATACCACAATTATTTTTTTTTTCAGAAGCAGCAAGTAAAAGTTTTTTTAAAGTAAGGGATAGGAAAATGGGAGAAAGTCCTTTCCCCAACTAATTTATAAGTGAATTAACATGATTAAACATAGACAAAAAGAGAAGAGACACTGGATTACTAATTCACACTGTTTGTCATAATCACTACCATTACATACTTCCGCCACCTAGAATTTGGCAGGAAAGAGTAAGAAACAACTTAATGCAAGCTTAATTTACAGCAAGGTTAGAAGGCCTCATAAAAGTTGCTTTATGAAGGAACCACTGTTGTACAATAGAGCCAATTTCCAATTTTAAGACAGCCACTGCAAATCTCTACAAGATCTATGTATATAACTAGTATTATGCTTATTCTTTTTCAGATTTTTTCCAATTCAACCCTAACTGATCACATTTGTCAATCAAACATACTCTTCAAAAGGAACAATGAAAGTCACAGCAAAGTATTCAGCTTTCTTTTTTAATTATACGAAAAGCTGGAGATGAGCCAACAAGGCAGCCTGCGGCCCAGAAGGCCAACCGCATCCTGGGCTGTATCAAGAGAAGTGTTGTCAGCAAGTCAAGGGATGTGATTCTCCCCCTCTACTCTGCTTTGGTGAGACCCCACCTGGAGCACTGTGTCCAGCTCTGGAGTCCTCAATACAAGAAGGACATGGACCTGTTGGAGCAGGTCTAGAGGAGGGCCACAAAAATGATCAGGGAGCTGGAGCACCTCCCCTATGAAGACAGGCTGAGGGAGTTGGGGTTGTTCAGCCTGGAGAAGAGAAGACTCCAGGGGGACCTTATAGCGGCCTTCCAGTACCTGATGGGGGCCTACAGGAAAGCTGGGGAGGGACTGTTTACAAAGGCACATAGTGATAGGATGAGGGCAATGGTTTTAAAATGGAAATGGGTAGATTTAGATTGGATATTAGGAAGAAGTTATTTACCATAAGAGTAGTAAAGCACTGGAACAGTTTGCCCAGAGAGGTGGTGGAGACCCCATCCCTGGAGAAATTCAAGATCAGGCTTGATGGGGCTCTGGGCAACCTGATTCAGCTAAAGAAGTCCCTGCTCACTGCAGGGTGGTTGGACTAGATGACCTGTGGGGGTCCCTTCCAGCCCAATGCATTCTATGATTCTATTTCTCCCACTGTATAGCTCATGGAAAAGGAACAGCCAAACAATTCCTTAGCACTTTTACATGCTTACCAACTACAGCAGTATTGCTCATTTCTTAACCACAGTCTGTGCTGCAAAAGGCACAGTTAACAACACTGACAATATTGTCACAACATACTTCACATTTTTCTGGCCAAGAAGAGAGGTCATATGTACACAAAAACTCAGTACTGGTGCCCAGCCACACATCCTACCTGCTGTTTTACATCTCTTCCATGCTACGTACCACTCCATGGAAAGCTCTGGTCACTGAGTAAAGAACTTATACAAAGTGCATTTTTTTCCCCGGCTTTGCTACTCTCATAACACGATTCAAGACCTGTGTCAAACAGGATTTATATGGCACAAATCCCAGCCAATGTGGCAACACAGTCCCAGAAAGAGGCAGGGACAAAGTTTACAACTGTTTGGGGGCTGGAAAGATTTGTTTTCTACCACTGTAATCTAGGACATCTCCAAAGCAAGTTTATATACGAGGTAAAAATGCTCTATCATTTGGTTTCCTGTTAAAATCAAGTGTTCCACTCTTTGCATACATCATCAGTTTAAAAAAAAAAAAAATGACATGTACAGTAAGCTACCAAAAATGATACTTGTATGAGAATGAACTGGAAGACAGCAGGTCACAGATACATCCTAATAGATGAAACACATGGCTGAATGCTCCAGAAAGAGGTGGGTTTTTTTAAAAAAAAATAAATTAAAAATTCTCATGATAAAATAATTTCCCGAAGTTACATCCAGTTTGACACTTTTTTCCTTTGGCAACTATTCCTGCATTAAGATTTTGGTAACTTCTGGAAATCTCTCAAATTTTTTCAAAGCACAGATAATATATGTTACAATGGGACATTATTTTAAATAACACTAACTGTAACACACTTATAATTACACAGAATCAAAAAAACCCCCATATGATCTGTATCCCACTAAGGAAGGTCAGCCCACAGAGTTGACATGTCCCAACAGCCTAAGAAGTCCTCAGTATGTTTTTAGGGCTTCCAGTTTTAACTAATTAATCGAGTGCTTTTAATTAAGCTGTGTAGGCTACATATATTCTTGGAGTACTTTTTCTTACCTTTATCCCAAGGCAAAGCCACAGCACATATTTAGAGCACTCGAAATTAATTAAACTCTTCTATACTTCTACAACTTAATACCAGTATTAGAGGCGTGTTATACTCACACCTGTTTTATAGAAAACTCTCCTTTGGAACATATTAACAAAGAATATTTATATAAAATTTAGATATATTAAATGTCTAAATGAGCTTACCCCAGGATCAACACTACAATGGCAGTGAAAATACCATAGTACACTGTGCTAGCGTAAGAGCAATACAACGCTTTTACAGTTACAAGGATTTACACATTCACTTGCAGAAGAGAGCTCAGTGTTCAGCACATACATGCTTATACTTATTCATTAGAAAAATTAAAAATAATTCTTACAGCAAGATTTTAATTTTTTTTTTTTTTAACAGGAACTATTGTGGAAGTATTCCTTTGAGTGCCATGTAAGCTTTTCTACAAACCAGTCTGTTCATACTATCAATTAAACCTTTTTAAACCATTTAGTTCTGCATAAACCCTGGCCTTTCTTTTTCAAGGACAAGGGCGGTCACTGACTCGGGAAGCCTTGACATCACTCCTCTACCGATCTCTGATTAAGTGGCTGCCGTAGAGGGTTAGCAGGTCAAATAGCACTGGAGGAGGAACTAAGAAAAACAGAATGCTGCTTTATTTATTAGTATATGCACCTAAAATAATTTAAATGAAAGTATTTTTAAAAATACTTAATGGAGGTTAAGCAGCTTTTTTAACCTCTGTTCAAATTATTGAATGGCATATTAAAACCAATGGAGCTATAATGTACCTTTTAATGTGACCTGCTACTTTAATAAATTGCATATGTATTTAACTTGAACTAAATCTATCTGTTTAATATTATTACTAAGGGCAGGTTAATATTACCTATAGTTTTACTTTATCCACCTACTTTTTAAAACAAAAACATTATAATGTAACTATATAGATTCCCACTCACAGTGAACATTTAAACTCTGTTTATAATAATATGGTACAAAGTCTTGAACTGATACGTAGCAACTGCAATACCACCTACTTGTAGGGCTGAACTGTAAGCAGTCCTTGTGAAAGCCAGCATATCCTCCACACAACAAGGCAGGTGAATGCTTTTTAAGTGGCATGTTTGCCAGTCTCATCAAAGTTTAAGCAACCATCTCTGTGCCTCCCACTGTGCTGAGCTTTAGGTATGAAGTGCCCTTCCTGAACAGCTTGCACTCTGCCTTTGAAATCCAATTTTTCACTGCAAGAATACCTGTTTTGCATCAAATTATGCTAGTTTACCTCTTAGTCAGTGAACGGGCCATGATGATTTGTATATTTTCTCAATATCTAGAAGAACTATGGCTAACCTTACTTTGGACATGTTGAAACTGCAGTAATAATACAAATTATACAACCTGTGGCAACAGAATAAAAATTTGATGGTGATCAGGATGTTAATACTTCCTCCTCACTCACACAGTTAGGAAGAAATGGAAAAATAATTAATAACACAAGTCAGAGACATGTCAGACATGAAGCTGTTTATACACATATAAAAAACTGTAGGAACTATGATATCCGAGCAAAACTTACTACATCAAATAGATTGTTTTCCAATTTCCTTACCTGGTTTACACTCATTACACCTTCTCCCCTGACGCTGAGGCAAACAGACACACTGTCCAGAAACATGGTCACAAACTGTTCCTGCCAATGTGCCCAGAGCGTCACAGTCACAACGCTGGCAGCCGAGGTGGTTGCTCATGCTGAGGTTGTACGTATGAAGCATGCACTGACTGCACTGAAGGCCAGTTACACCAGCTTTGCAAGGACACTGTCCTGTTGATTTGTCACAAAGCAGAGAGCCATTCACTGTACCTGTCTTATCACAGTTACATGGCAGACAAACAAAGGAATGATCTTCCTGTACTTTGTGGTAGCCATCTAGGCACTCGTCACATTGTCTTCCTCCAATATTTGGTTTACACGCACATTGCCCTGTCTTCCCATCACACACAGTTCCAGAAAACGACCCTGCAACGTTACATTCACAAGCCTTACAACCAGTTACATCCAGCCCATAAAAGTGGTCCGTGCAGGTGTCACAATGAAGCCCTTTCACTTGTTCTTTACAATTGCACTGCCCGGAAAGGGGGTTGCAGAATTGGTTCACTGAGCCATGGCTGTTGCACCAACAAGGCTCACATCCATCTTCATTAGAATATCTGAGAGCTTTAAATCCAAAATTGCAACTATCACACCTAAGACCTGGAAAGAGAAAAGGTATTAATAAGAATGAAAAAAAGAGCTGAAGAGCTCTTGATTTCAATTATTGAAACTGATAAATATACTATACTTGGGAAAAAAAAAAGAGAAAGGAAAGGACTAATATGCTTCACCAGCATAATTAACAAGAATGACAGGGCTGCACAAATCAATTGAATAACAGTGGCATCCCAAAAATCTGTTTACTTTTCCAATTTGTTTCAGAAGCGATGTGTCTCTGCTGGCGTCTCAATACAATTTAAGACACTTCTGCAAGAGATTCTTTGTAACATTTCTAAGACAAACCAGAATTAATCTCTTTGTCCCTCAGAACAGCACCTGTTGCACAATCAATGCTTGCGTGAACTCTTCACCCTGTATCATAGAAATGCAATATACAGGGAATTGTACTGGGCTCTCAATCCATTCTGATAACATATTTATGTATTATATTAAAAACATTAAACATACTCTAGGACAACACAAGTTACACTAATTAAGATGAATGATTTACTTAACACTGCACTTCAGTTTTAACATTGATTACATTTATGTTAGTGTTTATTGTTAGCCCTTACCGAAAGCAGAAAATATTTTCCATAATCCAAAATGAAATATTTTTATCTAAATGTATGATTTAGTTAGCTCCTGCAGTACATTAAAATCTAAACGGTTTTCTTCATCTTGTAGTTTTATTAGCTTTGTTTTCAAAGTCATTGCTTGCTTTATCCCTGCCCCAAGGGATGGCATTTGTATTTCAGTTTATAAAATGTACATTACAAGAAAGCAAACGAGATTATTATATGAAAAATGCAAATTCACAGTTATGTATTTTCCCTTGCAACGGGAAAATCCTTCACTATGAAGCTATCACCTAATTGCTGCATAGAGAAAAATATAAATACAATGTTCTAGCAAAATATTGTCATCACTTAAAAAAATACAAAACCATACAAAATTACATCTAGCAACTTATATGTTAAAAATAAAACTAAAAATGGTAGGAAATGCATTATACATATGGACAAAAACTCAAACACTCCAACAGAAGGCAAGTTCCTTTAACAGTGATGAATGACTCACCTAAGGCATATCATTTAATTTCAATAAGGAAAATAAAAAAGGACCACTATTGCTGCAAATTTTAAAAATAACTGTATTGTTAACAAGAATTATGACTCATTTTGAACTATTAAAATTGGTCTACATGGATTCATATCATATCAGTTTTAAAAATATGCGCAGTGCTTATTTGAATATGCCATACATATTCCTGACAGGTAATCTATTCCTAACGATACTGAGGAAGGCCTACAGGGCATCACATTCAATGTTAACAAGTACAGGGGAGTTAGCACGCTTGGCATTTAATTCACATTCTTCTACCTTTTTATTCTAGATGAATGACCTACTTTAATAAAATTATTGGTGCTAATGTATTTTACTGGTGATAGAATCATTAGTAAGATTTAACAGTTGTGTTAACTCTAACAGTTCATGTTTCATAACACTGCAGTCCGTAGTTGCATTTTTCTGTTATCATGTTTGTTTAAATAGATAAAATGGCAATAGACTGATTGCTCTAAAAACCAATTTAGAAACCCAAAGAGGAAAGCTCTTTGTTAAAGTTTGCTGCACACGTTCCAATATACAGAAGCTTATTTACAATTGGTTTGGAAAACAAAAAAAGGGAATCCAGTCTGGAAAGAATTAGGTCTCTATCCTGCGAACAAACACTTGCATAACTATAGGCCCCCACCATAGTTATAGATAAATTTGCAGAAAGCATAGATTTACAGATTTTTTGTATTACTATTTCAGTGGGAAAAAAGAAAATTCTTATTGTTTTCAACAAAGGGAGAAAATATTTAACATAATATGTAGATAATCAAATATGTGATTGTCAATCAAATTCTATGTGAGAACCAGGCTGTGCATTTCTTGCTTACCAAACTCCCACTGAGTTAAGAAAGGTTTTCACAGGTGCAAACGTGAAATGTCGGCTAAGAATATATGATTAAGATCGCCCTGAAGTCTATTTATGGAACGTAGAGAGTGGGTTTAAGACGCACACAGGTTATTTTTTACTCTCAGCACCCTTTTTATTATAAGGAAAACATAGGTACTTGGCATTCTGCAGGGAAGAGGAGATAAACGGTTCAGGCTTATGTCTGTTTAGAGTTATTTTCACTATTTGTTGTTATTTTTATTATTTGCTTTTGGAAATTAGAAGAAAGAAGAAACAAAGACTTACAATATTACAAATAAGCCAATATTCACAAGTCAGTGAGTTATTAATTAATATATACTTGAACATTGTTAATACAACCCACAACCATGGTTGGCTAATGAAAAAAAATAGATTACTAATTGTGTTAATAACAAAGCAGAAAAGGATCTATTTTTTAATTCTTTTTTGAGACATATGTACAGTCTGAGACATGTACAGTTACCATGCAAGGCTCACTTTATCAGGAAATTCTCCTTGCATAATATTCCCATACATCAACATTTCAAAGTGTATTATATATACTGTGTATTTTGGGCACTTGATAAATTTTGTCCTTATGTAGCTGTGGCTCCCCTCAAATATGCTGGAAGTAATAAATTGCTATAATCAAATCTAATTTCTGAAAAATACCTGTGGGAGTAACAAACAAAAAAGCACGTCTTGTAAAAAAAATGATAAATAACACAGAAGGTAGCAGTTTATTATAATCAGCTTGGCATTGAATTACAAAATTAAAATTATGTGGCCCTTGATAACTAACCCTAGCTATGTACATGATCTGTGGAATTATGTTGACTTATTTTGCATTTCATAGGAACAGTTCAAAGAAATATAATAGAAAAAATTGATAGATTTATCACAAAGGGCCCTGTAGCACAGAATATTTTGAGAAAAAAAAATCCATTTATTTTGGTCTATTAAGAAAACTAGCATGGAAACGATTTGCTTAGAACTCATTAAGTATAAAACATTTTGAAAAAGTGTTAATTTCCTAAAAGAAACATCTATGCAGCAAGCAAATTACATTATTTCTGTGACTTATTAGTATGGAGCTATGTAAGCTAATGTAGCTATGCCGTAAAGAAACTTCTAAAGGGTTGATTAAACTAAGCTTCAAGCTGTAGTTTGATAGAATTATTAAATTAATAATTTTTCAACAGTTAATTTCATTCATTTTTATAATCTGCCTTCAGCAAAGAAGTTTACTATACTTTTCATTTACAAATCAAGTGTGTTTTATTTCCAGAGAAAACAAGAGAAACAGCTCCAAACTCTTGCATTACACATACCAATAACATTTGCTTTGCACTTGCACTGGCCTGAATTTTGGTGACAGGTAATATCTCCATTGACTGTCCCAGAGGTATTGCAGTTACAGGGACTGCAGCCATCAGGGTTTGACTGTTGCAGATTGTAGAATCCTTCCTGGCACTGATTGCATTGTCTGCCAGACACATGTCTCTTACAATTACACTGGCCTCCAATCTAGAAAGATACAAAATATTATAGAATGAGGAACGCATCTATTTTTAGATGATACATTCATTAGCAACAAGAATGGGATAACGAGTCGGCGAGGAGAAAACTTTAAATGGAACAGAAAAAGTAAGCGTGTGTAACGTACTGTTTTAATTTGTTGAGAGAGAGAGGAAAAAAAAGACAAATATTAAACAGAGTATAACTATTCAACTGTTAAATAGAGTTTAGAAGTCCTGTTCTTTCAAAACAGAAGGAAAAACGAATTGAGTAAACAACGTGGCAATATTTACCATCTGGACAGAGAAAACTGCAAAAAATAATTACAAAATGGCATTGTATGAATGGTGACTTCTATTAAAACAAACAGCACTTTTCTGAATCACAGTTACTGCAAAACAGTGTAACATTTCCAAAGGTCCACTTTTGCATTTTTGTTGTTCAAACCATATGCTTATTTATTTTAGTGAAAATGTTAGTTAAATAAGAATGAAGCAAAGTTGAAAGATTTCCTTTCTGATTACTCATGCAAGACAAATTTTCTCCTCCTTTACAGAAAGATGTGACCCAACAGCTCAGGGTCTGAAACCCTCTCCCTCTTTTCTTGGTTCAGCTGGGATCCAAGCGTTCCACTCCAGTGGTGGGATATAAAGGTCCTCTCCTACTCCCTAAATGGGTAGCATTGCTATTTGGAAGCAGCTGAGGCATCCTTTGTTATGCCTGAGCCATGATCTGGGAGTATTTGTCTCACATCTTGTGCAAGATTAAAGGGCTCCTGGAAAGCTATCTCAATTTCAAACCACTGAAAGACAGAAAAAAGCCAATCTCTATATTCATCACTTTCCAATGGTGGGAAAACTGACCACAGGGAAAGGGCAATGGCACAGGGACAGGGAAATGAATGGAACACATCTATCAATACACAACATAGACGAGAACAGGAAGTCAAAACAACACAGAGATGCAGGTGATGTGAATTGGCAAAAGGTTTAAGATTCACAACCAAGGAATAAAGCCTAACTTTTCCAACTCAAGTGTTTTGGGGAATGCAGAGATGGCCACAAACAAACCCTATGTTATAAGTAATTTTCTTTGGGTCAGTGTACTTTTTTCAGTGCAAATATTTACAAATATGAAAAAGTGCAGTGATTCAAAACTAGTTATTCATCTACAACACCAACAGCTGTAGTTCGATGTACTTTGCTTTTAATTAGTTACCAGATGAAAACTCCTAACAGTTGTCTTTTTCATCTTAAGCCTATGAGCCAAACAAAGCTGAAACAAGAGGCGATTCCTGTGGCACCAGAGACAAAGCCGCTTGGAAGTTCCACTTAAAATAAAAGTTATTATCACACCCTCCAATCTACAACGAAGTTCTAAGCTTTATTAGTAAAAAATAAAATAGAGTATTTCAACATCTAATAGCAAATTCTCTTCAAAAAACACTGAACAAAAGTTAGAGAAGAATGTATTCATATCCCATCCTCATAAAAGCATTCTGTAGTCCAATAAAACTTCTTCAATACGTTTTCATGATAGAGGTGTGTTATTGATGTATCAGCCACATTTTTAAGGAAGATAAAGATATTAAAAAGGCAAGAAAATAAGATTTTATAAACAAAAGGCAAGACAACAGCAAGTACAAAAAGGTAAGAGACCACAACAGCAGAAAACACAGCAACAAGGATTTTCAGGTTATTCCCTTTTAGGCTGGATTTGATCTAGATATTTAGTTTATTATAAGAGACCCAGTCATGCATCACAGCCATTCATCAGAGAACTCTCATGTGAAAAGCAACTCTGAGTTTAATCCTAAATGAAGAAAAATACCTAGTTTAATACATAACTCTAAAAGAAACATTTTGTGTTAGTGACCATAGCATACTCAGATTACACAATAGCAAGTATTATATAAAAGATACCTCATTAGCACTCAACAAACATGTTACTCATACCCAAAAAGACTTAAAAGTTGCTCCAAAAGCTACCACACGAAGGAACGTGTTACATGCAAAAAGTCATCTTCAAATAGTGGAAAACAGATCAAAATAAGGAGGCTAAATAAGAGAGGAAAACCATCACCAAATTTTAAAAACAGAATAAAGCAATAAAAAAAAAAAATAAAAATCAAACGACTTTTAACAAGCAACATCCTTAAGGCATGAAGGTAAAAAAAATATTTTTCAAATGTCAGAAACAAAGTAAGATTATCAGAGAATCAATCAGTGAGTGCAATAAATAACTAAGTGGGATGATTAGGAGATGCGGATTGGACATCAGAATTTTTCACTAAGAGGGAAGTGCAGCATCAGTAACAGGTTGCCCAGAGAGGATGTGGAATCTCCACCCCTAGAGGTATCAAGACTCATCCAAACAAAATCATGACTGACTGGATCTAGTGCTGACAAAAATCCTGCTTTGAGCTGGAGCAGATGACCTACTAATGCTTTTACGATTCTGTGTAGCATTCAGGAAAGACAGAACCACAACAGAGACTGCAAAGAAAGTATTTCACAGCTGTTCAGTATGAAAGAGGTGTTACCATTCTGTATTAGGGATGATTTTCAAGACCAATTTCAAACCAAAATGTCAGAAGGAAAAGATTTCAGCAAAATGTGATCTGTTAAAAAGTGACTACACATGAGTCAAGAGGTCTGAATGAACTGAAATATGAAATTACTGAGTTACTAATTGCTTAAATCAACCTCAGTAAAAAAGGAATAAAATTATAAAAGTTACATTAATCTCCTTAAAAGGCTGTAAGGAAGCTTCTGAGATCTACAGACGAGTACTCTTTTTCTGTACAGAGAGAATTAATAGAAATGAAAACATGAGTTTGATACATTGGAAAAGATTGGTACTTTTTTGCAAAGAAAAATCATGCTTCATGATTTTACTGCATTTCTTTAAGTCAGCAACATCTGGAAATATCACATATACTGAACCAAATGGATGATCAAAAAGCCAAATTAATGTCTACATCAAGAAATACAAACTTAATGCCTGGGAAAAACCAATGCTAACTACAGGTAGACAGTGATGAGTCCAAAATTAGCTATTATCACTCAAGAAAGGAGCTGTTAAAGCTGCTCCATTCTCCCTAAAAATCATTTGAAAGCTCTGAGGCAGTTAAAAAGGCAATAGGAATACTGGAATTACTAGGAAAAGAACTGAAAATTATACAGAAAATGTCATTCTGTCATAAAAATCCATTGTGTATCAACATTTTGCACAATTTGTATATCTGGTTATCCTCTTTAAAATAAAAGAGGTCGCAGAGCGAGTAGAATAATCAAAGATACAAATGAAAAGAGACTAATAAAAAGACTTTTCTGTTTGGAAAGAGATGACTAAGATGAATACATGTCTATAAAATCATGAATATCTTACCAAATGAATATTCATTATTTCTCTCTGTATAAGGAGAGAACACCCAGGAAATTAGCAGAAAGTAAAAGAATGAAAAGTACTTTTCCTGTGCACTTGAAGTGTATCGAAAAATACACTTTTTTTGAAGTCCATTAAAAAAGGAGTTAGATTAATTCCATGTGTGGACACCAAACATGACAACTCAGATGAAAACTCAGGTAGTCCCAAAATTATAAATAACTGGAATCTAGAAAAGTGTATCACAGAAGGATCATACTTCTGGTAACTATCAGAGAGGATACTGTGCTAGACAAAAGTCTTCTTTCATCCGGTATGGCTGTCTTGTCGTAAAATGGAAACATGGAAACCCAAGTTTAATTGTGAGCAGATGGTAGCCATTTCCTGATGTAACAAGTGAAACGTTTAGATTACCGAGTGCTAAGAGAAGCAAAGAGCATTAGTATCTTCAACATACTTTTAAGTGTCAAGCTACTACAAGAAGCAGTAATTTCCATCTCATTCTGTTGCAAAAAATGTTTGTCCCCAAATTTTCTCTTAACAGGGTAAAAAAAGTACGCTGGAAGAATAAATATAAATCTTCAGAATGAAGAAGAAATATCTGGCCAACTGAAGAATACAATTCAAATTTTCTCCAGGAACCAGCCGATTAAACCATTTGGAGATCCCCCGACACAAATTTCCTCCTACCTTGCCGTCACATAGAAAAGAGTTTTCCATCTGTAATCAATACAAGTGGCAACTGGTTTCCTGGTTCTAAAAAGAGTCAAAGTCTTTTGTGGCAGTTACAGGAATGTATAGGAAACTTAAGTTTTTGTTAGAGAGGGAGGCTTACCAGCTTGCTGCTTAATAGATCTGAAAATAGGTTTCTAGGAACCAGATTAGAGGATCTGTAAATAATCCACTGACATTCTTCCATAACACTGATTTCAAACTCTTGTGAAAAAAAGTCAAGTAGAAAAAAGACATTCTGTAGACTAGACAAAAAGGAGCCTCTGACTGTATTCACAAATTACTATTTTGTTCGCGTCTTAGCTACAAGTGACTAGAAATCTTTCCATTCTGGTTCTTCAGCTACTTTCTGTCAATACAGGATATCAAGATGAAAGATATCTATTGAAATTTAGCCTCTGAAATACAGAATAACAAATTAAATTATATAACTTATCTTCTATAGTAAGCATGGCATTATAAGAGACATGAATATCAGCTAAGGCAAACATGCTACTGTAAGGCCCCCCCACATGACACAGTTTTTATCCGTCATATACTGCATAAACTTCAAGTAGCTGTGCAGAATTTTAGAGAAAAGGTTGAGAAATATGCTTCAAATAAAAACAGTAGATGGAGGGGGAAAAAAGTAGGTAAAAGCACTTATAAAACTGGGAAGGTTTGTAGGGTTCTGTAATTGCCTGCCCTGGGCGCTAAGCTCTTCAGTATTTTCAGTAGCAGGCTCTGAAGACAGAAGAGAGAATATGCTTACAAGCCTCACAGACCACTCCAGCTCAGGATGCACAGCCAGCACCATCATGGCCCTGAGGGCAGCAACCAGCCCTAATGGCCCTGAACAGCTTCACCTGGGGCGTCCCCTCACACCCTCTGCCCACAGCCCAGGAGCTCCA